CCTGAGGTAACTATCAAAAAATGCAACACTTTAGCCTTTATGATCGACAAAAGGAAGAGAACACAGCAAGAGACAGGGACAGCCTGGTAAAACTGCAGACTTTTGCAGTTGTTGCAAACCATTTGGCTTGTCTTTGTGTCAGGAAAGAAGGGAGGGGCCTGCCCGGTGGGATGGCTGCCCAAAAACAGAGGGAAGAGGTGAGGAAGGGGCTTTGCCTACCTAGAGGAAAGGAGATGCTCCTCGCACCCAAGGAGTAGGCACGCCCTGCTATCGCTCCCCCTTGCCACCCCGGTGCCTCTTCAGAAAAACAATCCCAAGAAAACCTAAACAAAATAAACTCCCTTATCTTCCACCAATGTACATTTAGAAAGCAACAGAGAGCGAGCAGTGTGAGGAGAAAAACAATGTTATTTTAAGGCTTGTATATGAAACCCAACTGTTGTGCTGGGAAGTGTCATTAAAAACTATTTGAACTATCCACACACACCAGACCTTAGCTTGTTAATCTAGTTGCAAAAGTGTATCTTAAATGCATAACACTTTGTTTTAAACTCCCCAAAGAACAGTCCTTCTCCTAAAGAAAAATAAAGTTACTTGGCTCCCTGATATATGAAAAAACAAAACAAAACAAAACAAAACAAACCCAAAAAACAGCATTCAGAGTTAAATCAAAACTAAGGAGAAAAAAAAGTGTAGGCCTTTAAGTGTAATTTTGTCCCCTTGAGTTTATGGATTGCATTGTAGTAATTTATTAGATTTTGACCTACCACACAGTAATACAGAATACTTTTTATGGGTACTCTTTACAGGTAAAACACTTTTCTTTACATCTTCCAGTAATATATAATATTAAACTCCAGTTTCCTGAATAGTGTGCTGATTTCATAGAAGGAGGTCTTGCAGTGTAACATACATGAAGACATGGGCAGAGTTAGAAATTTCCCAGCTGTTAGGAGATTGCAATCACAATTTCAGTGTAGCATCAAGGTGGGGATTTTTCACCCTGAAGACTTTCCTTTGTAGAAGAGAAAAATTGTGAATATGGACTATGTGGAAAGCAAGATGACGTCAACACCTCAGAAGGACTTACCTGTAGAATTGTCATAGCACTGTTCAGATAAACATTGTCTAAAACATTTAGCTTTGCTTGAATTCAGTATTGGCAGCTGTAACTGTAATAAAGGAGTCTGCCTCTTCAGACCATGAAAGTAATTCAGCCTTTTTTTCCCTGTATTAATTGCCTTTAAAAAAAATAATAATTGCCTTTTTTTTTCCTGTATTAATGTCCTTTTGCCTCTGATTTTTTTATTTCTATGGCACAACACTAATTCATGCGTCCCAGCTTTGCACTGCCACCATGAATGTAGAAAAATATCCCTTTAAAAAGAAATTATATTGACATAATCTTATAATCACCGCCACTGCTGCAGCCAGACCATTAAGAGAAATTCTGAAGTTAGTGTCGAATGAAGAGCTGACTGGTCTTATTTTACAAGATCGATAGATGATAGCAACACATCATCAAATCATTTGGATACTTTTCTGTTGTTTCTTCAGGTGAGAAGGAGGCTGATTTTAAAATCGGGTCACATGTGAAAATACTATTAAGCTTCAAATCCTGTCTCTCCAGAGATGATGCAAGATCGAGAAAGGAGAAATTCAGTTGCCTGGCCATATGCATTTAGTGCCACTTAAACAACCTTGCGTTTTCCAGGCGTCTGCACAGGTCTGGCAGAGGTGACAGGACAGAAGGGAGATCTGCACCTTTTCAGAGTGATAGTTGGAGCCCATCTTAGGGCATAGCAAATATTTAGGCAACTGAATGCTAAGTGATTGTTTTTCGACATTAATAGCACTCTACAACTTCCAGTAGTAGCAATTAACAGAAGAAAAAACAAAACCCAAAACAAAGCCAAAACACATATATTCAGATAATTATCTGTCAAAATGTTGTTTCATTTGTAAATTAGGAAAGATTTGGTTTAAGATCCCAGCATTTCTGTTACCTGCCTGGGGCTCCTCTGCTTACCATTTCTGGCCATGGTCAGATGTGTTGCTGCAGACACCCCTTTTGAGACCTTTACACACTAGCTTCCGAAACACAAGTCTTTGCTGTGTAAAATGGTGAAGTGGAAGAACAAAGCATAAATAAAAATTTCAGCGTGGAGTAAAATTACACTCAGGTGCAAGAGCCTCACACAAACGAGTCTGAGCACATGAAGCTTGCAAACAAAGCTATACCAATCACTTCATCTTTTCTCCAAGTTGGACAAAACTACCTGTAACTATTAAATCAGGCAGGTCCCTATGCATATGACCTCAGGCTATCTGTGCCTATAGAAGCGGATGACTAATGAACTGTTGAGCTGGTAACAGTCGACTTCAGACTTCAGTAGTATGTTCTGATGTCGTATTTTCTGATGAAAAGATACTTGTGACCTTTTTCTATTATAAAGAAAGAACTTTCTCATTTACAATAGCCCTAAGAATTTGCCAATATCCGTGTCCTAGGCATCTGCAAATGCCCTTATCTTATGACATCCTGATGGAAGTATCATCTTTCAGAATAGCTGCAAACAAACATTTTGAAGGGTCACACTAAGGAGGGAGGCAGCAGCATGAACTGGCACCTCCTGGCAGTTGTTCAGGCAGATGTAGTCACAGCCAGGATACGATTATTCTGCTCTGAATATATGCATTCAGCCCACGGCCACAGTAGCCGGTTTTTCTTCTGGGGCAGTACCTTATGCTGGATTTCCTCCACTTGCAGAGCACAGGGAGGACAGGCAGCACCTCCTCCCAGTTCTCCATCTCCTCTCTGGTAATAATCTTCCCTCGGTGCTGTGTGGCGCAGTCCCACAGCTACAGCAGCCTAAGTGCTTTTTATTTGCACTGCTGAGGGCTAAGGTTTCGAGCCTTCTAATGCTGAGTGACAGAATTGTTTTTTAGCCTTTTCCTCTTAAGAAAAACATTCTAGGAAATTGCATAACCTCATTTGATCGTCTTGATAACTGAATATAAGGTTGCAAACTCACCCCTTGAAAAGTTAGTCAAAGCCAGATATACTGCTGAGTAAGCAGAACGATTTGCTTTCTTGTGCTATGTGCTATGATCCTAAATTAAATGAATTACAACCTTTTTTCATCCTCCAGGTTCATTCATCATTGAATGCAGAATAAAGGTAGAAAAGGGCTGAAGTAAGGTTGTGTGTGTACAGCCACTAGTCCTACCTTTTGGATCTTGGTTATGCCAAGGAGACAACTTTCCCTTCATCTGTTTTAAAAATTGCATAGACTCCTTCAGCTCTGACCTGTTAGCACAACTACAACCAAAGCCATCAGAAGCTATTACCCTCCGATGTTTTTCCAACAGCACACGTGAAGTATGCTTCTTTTCCATTAATTTCTCACTTGGGAAATCTTCATCTGCTCTCCCAGAGGTAACATTCCCAACAGAGGCTCAGGGCTGAACTGGCATGAAGGCAGAGCTCCTACCTCATGTGCTGGTCCCTTCAGGTGTTTCAGATTAAAACAAAAACAAAACCAAAGCCAAACAAACAAAAAAACAACCAACCAACCAAAAACCAAACCAAAAGAGAGGGCACATCAAGAACTCATCCAGTGTCCATGAATTTGGTCTGTTTTGGGAGAGTGAAAATGGGATAAGCCCAAACACATAGGCTGCAAAAATCCATCTGTGATGCATTGTTTCAAGGTGCTAAAGTAATTATACTTTTATCTAAACAGTTTCTTGGAAATATTTATTCAAACTTTTTTTTTTTTTTTTTTTTTTTTTATGTCACATTTGGGGCAACAAATGGTAATGTTCTGGGGCACATCAATTAGTTTGAAGTCCTTAGTGTAACCAAATCAGTGGCTGCCCATTTTTTAACCCGGTATGATGCGTGGGAGACCACCTACCAGACACTCAGAGGGCAGGTTAATAGTTAACAGCTTAAAGTCAAGTAGGGTTGCAATTACTCTTTTTCATGTAAATAAAGCCCACTTTTTATTTACTTGCCAGATAGCTAATGTAATCTTCATTCTTGAAAGCGCTCATATGCAAAGTGAATGGCACCTGAACCAGATGCTGCTGAACATGCCGGTATAGCAGTGCAGCATTTGTGTCCTGAGTCAAAAAATGTTTAACAAACAACGAAACTTCAAAGAAGTTCAAGCATGATTTACAGCTCAGGGTTAGAGAGTCTTCCTCCCCATCTTTTGTCCGTTTTCTCCGTGGGACAGCATGCTGTTCAGGCAAAATCACTATCCCTCCCTGCCTTCGTGCCAGAGACAGGCTGATGCAGGAGGGGATGGGAGAAAGGGATGATGGGGAGTGAGCCACTGAGCTGAGGCTGCATTTTGGTGAGGGATGAAGTCTTTGTCTGGATATAGGGTGGTCACCTGTTTCTGTGCTTCAGTTTTATCAGCTGTAATTTGAGCATAATAATCTTTTAGTGCCTTTTGGACATGTGAAAACTTGTGCTTATCCTTAAAGACAGAGCTTTACACAACTTCTGTGGACGGCCTTTGCAGATCTAAGATGAAATAACAAGCCCTTGCCTCAGAGAGAACTGGTAAATGAGAAGACCAGAACTGGAAGGAAAAACTACCCTCTCACAATCGCAGATATTTAATGCTGTCAGTGGGTTAAAATTTTCCCATTCTAAACAGAGGCCCTTAGTGAGGATCTGAAGGAAAGCTTAACCTAGAAACCCCAATGATTTTTGGGTCTCTCCCAGATGGACAGATGGGTTTGTATTATTAAGCGTATTGTCAGTGCAGAACCAGTTTACAAGACTGAAAGCTGATGATGCTTTACTGTTTTTTTCTGCCTATTTCAGAGCATGCTGTACAAGACGGGCTTCCTGGCTAAGCGAGGGGAGCAGAAGAGGATGGAGCAGCTGAGAGGCTTGTTATCAGTGGCAGAAACTAACTTTGAGCCCACGAGTATTCCTCAAGAGCAAACAAAAACTGCAACAAATAATCCATAAAACGCAGTCAAAAAGGACTTCGTTTAATTAGTGATATGTAAAGACTTTTGCATAGAAAAAAGGTTAACAAAGTAATGCATAAAAGACCAACTAGGTACAGTATTTTTAAAACAAATATTTTAAAGTACATTTTGCATAATGTTTAACATTCTCAATGCTTATTGCTTTCTCCACACAGCAGAGAAATCAAGTGCATAATAATACATGCTGTGTTTTATTTTTTATTTTTTTTACATAAAATCTCTAGTTCTTGAATGGATGTATTAAAATACTTAGGTTATTTTAAGTCACTGTAATAAAAAATGAAAGCAAACCATTTTATGCAGCACTAGTTGTCTGGGTATTGACAAAATAATTTACTCACATCCATCCCCTTTAATACATTCATTTTGGTTTGGAATCAAACCCACATTACAATGTTGGCGTGTTAATAGCCAATTTAAAAATTGTCCCTACCATAACTTCATTCATACCCAGAGTGATCGTTCTCCCAGAAGTTGATAGTGAAAAGAAGAGGGATCTTGCACAGAACTGGCTAAAAGTAAATGTCCAAATACAGCTAAATAAGTTAATTTGAACTCTTACAACACTGAGTCTCTTGTATTGACATGAATTGACTGTATCCAAGTGTGCACACTTTAAATAGGTGGTTACTTCTGGGTGCATGACAAATTCACTGTTTGTGCAGATAGAGCTAGCACCATATTTAAGCCATGAAAAAGGGTGCCTCAAGGCTCACAGGCAGCGCTGAAATGTTCATTAATCCCAGCACTGATAAGATAATTGCTTTTACCAGTGCTATGCTAGATGTCACAATTTGGCAAGTCTGTACAAAGAAAGTGAACTAAGGAAGTCAGAACTAGGCCTGTCAAACTGAACATTCTTCCTCGGCAATCTTTTGGCTAAAAAACCTCTCCCCTTCAAGAGCACGCTCTTCCCTGGAAAGGTATCCCAGTTCTTAAGTTGAATGCAGGATTTTGCCTCTCTCTCATACCATTTCCATACCTGTGCAATGTTATTTGTTTTAGCAGAACACACATATATATAATTTTATTTTTATTTATTATTTTTTCAATGTCAGGCACTTATGAAACTCGAACTCTTTTTCTATCCTGGGGAGAGCTGGTAGGTGCGATCCCTCACCTCTCTGCCAAACAAGGATGCATAGCTGGAGAATTATTAGTTCTAATGTCTATGTTTTTCCCAGGAAACCTCTACAGGCCGATATGGTCACACTGTTACGAAAGCCATTGCTGCTCCCTCAAGGTACCTCCAGCAAAACAAACTGAGAAGAAGAAGAAGAAAAAAATCACCCGGTGTCCTCTCCGACACCTGAAACGAGGAGGATAGCTGTGCCGCTCCTCGGCGGGCTTGCCGGAGCCTCTCAGGCCCTTTGGGTGAAGGTGGCCGCTTGGCCGGGCTGAGCAGGAAGGACATGCCGAGTCCCAGAGGCTCGGGTGTGGGTGCGGGTGTGTGTGAGCACGTGGGGGTGTGTGTGCACGTGTGCGTGTGCTGAGGGAGAGGAGGGAGCTAGACCGGGAAGGGAGAGGGCAGACTTAGAAGGCTCCAACTTCAGTCCCCCAGGGTCGGTATGGTTTAGTGCTACCCCCGCTGCCAGCCTGCTGAGGGCTGGCAGTGGCGGATACGGCCAATGGAGGTGTGATGGCTGTCGCCGCAGCCACGGCGGCGGCGGCCGCGCTGGGGGGAAGCATGGGGAAGGCGCCGGTGAAGGAGAGCGGGAAGCTCTGGGCAGCAGCCGTAGCTGCCGCTGCTGCGGCGTGAACGGTAGCCGAGAGGGACAAGAGGGAGGTAGAGAGAGGAGGGACGCAGGGAGCAACACTGCCAGCGGAGGGGACTCTGAGGGTGGCATCGGCATGGGCGAAGGTGGCCGTGAGCAGGGCAGAGCCATGGGGGGGCACCTCCGAGGAGAGTCTGCACGGGGCGGCATCAGAGGCGTGAAGTCCGTTCGGCTGCAGCAAAGCGGCCGGGATGTGGTGAAAGGCAGCTGCCCAGTGGTGAGGGTGCAAGGGGTGGTGGTGGTGGGCCATGGAGGAGGTCATGGCGGCAGCTTCCCTCTGAGAGGCACAGGTGCTCAGGTGAGACACAAGTCTAACGCGCAGGGGGTCAGATGTGTCGAGACCTTCCACTGAAGTCAGGTACCTCGCGACTTCTGTCAAGCACTCCCGGAAGCCAATGCTCATGAAATCCATGGCCAGGGAATGAGCGTCAAAATAGCCTGCAAGGGGAGGGAAAAAGAATGTTGAGTGTCAAGCCAGCTTTCCAGCCGACATTAGGTGACACAGCTAACCCAGTCCTTACTCAGCTGGGCTAAGATTTGTGGGTTAAGATTTACAGGTTAAGATTATGGGTTGATCCATTTATGGGTTATGATTTGCAATGCGAAGTTTGTTCTCTGATCCACAAATGATTTGTGTGACCATCCCTGTAATGCAATAGGCTGCAGTTGCTTTTCCAGACAATATACAAATGAAAAGAATTAAGTCCATAAGTACTCGTGATACTTGAAAAGATACACAATGCCTCTCCCAATATTCCTCAGCAAGCTGCTGCAGTGCAGTGTTGATCCTGCACGCGTGTGTGAACGAGACGTTTATCCACACAACAAAACAGGCTGGAGATCAGAGAGCCTGCATGTACTACCCTGCCTTTTCTTCCCTGCACTGGCATTCATCATAATGCTCTCAAACTGTTTCCTGACATTGTGAGATAGTTGTTGCAACTGCTGCCGGGGTCTCATCTACTTCACAGAGTCATTAAGACAATATGACATACGGTGTTACTTAACTACAAACTAAAAACATCTTGTCATGACTCTGCACACACACAATAAAAAGCTTTACTGAGAAAACGTTTTATGTAATGCCATTGCTAATTTGGAGATGGAAGACTGACAGTCATATGGCCCATGAGGTATTTCAACAAACAGCAACTGGAACTCCATAGGCATTACAAAAAAGCATTTGAAAAATAAATTGTCTTATTAAATGCACATGAAAAGATATTCCCTTTCTAAAAGGGTCTAGCATCAAATCTAGTGCTGAAGTTGCAGCTCTTTAACCACAAAAACCTACTCCAGTTTTTGGAATTTTCCTATTTTAGTTTAAAAGTAGTCTCCTCAGGGAAATATCGTCCTATCCACTCCCAACCTGGCACAGTGTTTATTCCTCTTGCTTTCAGTGAAAATTTTTAGGTATGCATGACTAAGATGTGTATTAGTGTATAAAAATCAAGTGTCCTTATTATGGAGGAATACAGCAGCAATACCTGCATTAGGCCTTGTACTCTCTGGCATGAAATAATCTCTGTCTTTCTGAAAAATGCTAGCACCTCAGATGGCTTTTTTCACTTGTATCAACTTTCAAGCTAGAAAGGAGTGTTTCTGTCACTGCTCTCCTGCATTATAAAATTAACCTGCACACATTTATAGGTGTCTCCTCAAATCCCCTGCCTGCTTTACACCCCTTCTTGCCAAATTAGAATGGTGCTTTTGCTTCAGGCCACCTTGCTCATCCGAGGCTGTACCAAACCCAAGAGAAACACTGGCTTGGCCAGCAGATCAGTGAACATGAGGGGTCAAGGACTCGTGTCAGCAAGCAATGATTCCTCCCAGCATTTCTTCTGCCAGGTCCACTGTGACCAAGCAATCTGTGGAAAAGCCATGGTTTGAGTGAACTCCTGAGAACCAGATGCCAGGCAGGCCAGCAGCAGCAGGCTAGCAGGGTACCTGCTCAGGTGCCAGCCAGCCTGGCATGGGGACTGCCTCCACACTGGACACTCCAGGACCTCTGGCAGCTTCAGAGGGGCTGACATGCAGCCAAAACCACCTCCCGGCTCTAGCCACGAGTCAGCCAGCCTGGGAATCCTGAGAGCTCATGGCTCAAACCAGGGCTTCCCAGCCTTCCTCCCTCCAGACAGGAGCAGACAGGGGATGTGGTTGTCACCAGTTTCCCCTGGGTCTGAGCTGCTGGCTCTGTGACGAGCCATCCCAAAGTCCTGGTGATCCTGGCTCCCTCTCAGTCTCCTGTGGTGGCCGATACATAAAAACAGAGGGGAGATCAGAGCTGGGACTCCCAGGCTCCATTATGTTTTGATTTTGATGGTTATCCTTCCCAGGTTTCCCCTTTGCTGGCTTCCCCCTTCTGAGAGAGACTTACAAATGTTGTTTCTTTTTTCTTTCCAAAACCCAAGAACATCCTCCACCACCACTCACATGCATACACACCAGCTTTTTGTAATGAATGGGAAGTCTCAGGTTTACTTCAGCTATCCTGGTAACCCACCTGCTCTGTACGAAGGACACTAAGTCATTTGAGCTGTATTAACTGATGTTGCTGACCCAGGTGTCAGTCATTCAAGCTAAATTTGCAGTGAAGCTGCAATAAAACCACACCGAGGTCCCAGCAAGTGACTTGCTGTTGACAAATTACTTCTCCCCTGTGCTTGCTTGCACCGTCAGCCAAAAGCCCTGGCCACAGGCCAAAATAATAACTCAATGTGAACAGCAGACCATTGCCTGCACCTGTGTCTGGGTGGCAGAAACATGGAGTCCACAGAGGACCTCAGAAGTGGCAGCCTGCCTGCCCCAAGCAGCTCCAAAAAGCAGAGAAGGGACAGGAGCCACATGTCTCATGCCCACCTTGGGTTCAGCACGCTGAGGAGTCGCGGATTCCACACCAGCTTGCCTAGCCCCAAGCATTCCCCATTGTGGGTACCCTCCCATTTCTGCATGAGGAGGAAGAGGATGAGCTCTCCTCAGCCCGTGATGCAGGGGAGCATAAGGGTATCAGGACCCATTTCACCCTGCTGTGATAATAGCTTGTGTCCGTAGGAAAAAAGATGGAACTAATTTTTTTTTGCTGATCCAAATAAGTTTCTGGCTCAGAAGATGAGTTACAAACTGGGAATAACTACACTTGCAAATAAAACAAAAATCTGCCTTAAAAACACCTTAAGAAATTATATTTAAAATTATTATTAGGTTGCAAACTAAAACATTAAGAAATAAGGAGATGCAAACTTAAATTTTGCCTGGTACTAACTCACAAATTTCAAGTTTCTTAATCCATGCAGTGAGATTACTTGTATATCTGGGTCAGAAGGAGAAGACCAAGTCATAGTATTTGTGAAACGATCGGGTATTATATTGATGTGTCACCCACTATGGACCATGGTGTGGGAGGTGGCTGTGAGCATAAACTGGGATTGCCTCTCCCGGCACCCGACGCTTCATCCTTCCCTGTGCTGCTGCCCCCTGACAACCGTGGCAGGGAGAGGCATGGCGGTGGTGGCAGACCAGGGAAGAGACGTCAGGACTGCTGGCAGAATCCATCTTGTCCAGCCACAGCTGGAGGTTGGGCCTCTCTTAAAACCCCTCTCCGTCCAGGAGCAACAATCCCAGGCACTTCATCCCCTGCCTCACTAGCTGGGCCACCTGACCTGACCTAGTTATAAAATAATCACCCACATAATTTTTTTGGGTGGGGAGGCAGGGGAAGGAGGGTTCCTATTAAATTAGGCCTCCCATCAGGTTCACCTCCTGGCCCTCCCGCTGTCGGTGCAGACATCGGAGGGGTGGGAGCTGCTGCAGCTTTTCAGAGGAACAACGTGCAGCGTGAATCAGGGGTCAGGTTGGGATAGTTGAGCTGCACGTCACGCGGGGAGGGTGAAGCAAAACAGCCACCGCTTCCCTCAGCAGCAGAGCGTTGTTCGCCCGTGCACCAAGCGAGACGGAGCCTGTGGAAAGCCAGCATGCAACCACGCAATTAAAGCCAGCACCATCACGCACACGCACAGAGGATCTGATTTCAGATTGCACAAGCACGATCAATTCTGGCATTTCGCAACTTTCAAGAGCGTAGCCTTACCGACTAAACAGTGGGCTTAAAAGGATATTTTTAGATATAAAAATTAACTTTTAAAAATTTTGCACATTTTCTGAGGAATCGAGAGGCATGTCTGTTATATGAAGGGCAATAAAATTCCTTTCACCTCTTCTAGAACAAGTTACCCATAAATTTTAAGCTTAAACGGACTCACAGCAAAAGCCTCTTAACACCTAGAAAATATGTATGTCAGCTTGGTGTTAATTTTCACAAATAACAGAATACCAGTCTTTCCTATCACCATTTGTTTTTAAGCATGCACTGATTATAAGCTGAATTCTGGAATCGCTGTGAGGTACAGAAAGGAGCAGTATTTCAGTCACGGGCTAAAAACTTTTGAGTTTAATCAAAAAGGAAGAGAGAGAGCAACAGATGCCTCTGTTCTAGCCTTTACGTATATGGCAGAATGTGTCAACAAAAAATCGGCTGGTTTCCATTGCACCAATTTGAACCATAACCCCAGTTGATAGCATAGGACACGGGACCGTGCTTACAGGAGGCCAGCAAGTTTTTACTCCAAATAAGTTCCAAAATCATGACTATACAGAATACCTCGTGGGTGGCTGAAACCATTTGGCCTCCAGCCTCGAGGCTGTCAGCTTGCACAAGCGAGGTACGCTCGACTCCCAGCAGCTGGCTGATCTAATGGGTCAGCCAGTGCAGTCCCTGTGTCACGCCAGCACCCACTACCCAGGCAGCTTCCCAGACCTCTGACACACAAATACAGCATATGAATACGAGTGCAGAGAGCACTGCTAGCCGTCTGCCTGTCTGCTTTATCAGATACCTGGGGCTGCACAGAGCAGGACTGGGCTTTGTTCTGGTGAATGAGACGGTCTAACCTGGCATTTAAAAGTCTTTCCAGAACAAAGAAAAATACATAAACAATAAAGAAAGTTCCTCTCCATCCACTTCCTTTGGTATAGCTGCTGCATAGAGAGGTTTAGCAGCAGTTTTGTGCCACACAATTGTTGCCACAAACCTCCTGTTTATGTTTGGTGTTTGTGTATTTGTTTTGTCTCCTTGTGCAGATTTCAGTGCTCTTTGGAAGCCCCAAACAAATCTCTGACTGGGCTGCCTGTGAATGAAGCCTTTACTCCCACAGTGTTATGAAAGCAAACACAAGCCCAGGGTCAAGTGCTTCTTTTGTCCCAGTAGTTCTTTCCCACGAGTTCAATCCTGCCATTAGCATTGATTTCCACTCCTTTAATCTGGAAATGCCTATCACAGCTCCTCAAAGCACTTTTTTTTCCTGAGATTTCCCCAAATATTAGAAAAGAAACTATCAGCTCCTTACCTTTACCTCCCGTTGCCTGCAGCATCTTCAGATGATCTACTGTCATTTGCAGTATTTCCGCTTTCTCTAATTTGGCAGATCCCTTTGAGATAAGAGACTCATATAAATAAAGGCTTACAAGTACTAGAAACTTTAATTTGATATACTTTCCACTGAGCTCAGCCTTATGGTTTCAATTTCCCCTATCATTAGGACATTCTCAGCTTAATTCTTCCATGAGCATCTGCCTCCCAGACTTTGTCTAAGGACTAATGCTGTCTCCTCTCTAGCAGCACCAGCACAATTTTGCTTTATTAAGGCTATAGCTTAGCATAGCTCTGACCTTGAAGATGGTGTATAGATGACATCTTCATGAAATGAGAGAAATATGTAACTTTCTGGACTTTCTTTTTAACAACAAACACAAACGGAGGGCAGGCAGGACAGGTCTGCACAGTTATCGACGAAGACTCTGCTGCAACACTTTTTTTCTGCTTTTACCAGTAGGTGTCCCTGTGGGCACACACCCAGAAGTACCCTCTTTCTTAATCGCCTGTTAATTTTCGACATGTCATTTGGCTGCTGAATATTCTATTCTCATTCTGGACCGAAAAAGCAACCTCACCATCCACAGTATTTTAAGTTAGGCCTAGTTTGCAGGGACATGAAACTAAAAGAAAGAGTTTAGCTCCTCTGTCAGTAAAAATCTTTTCTGTTGCTGAGGGTGGCTGACAAAACTACAATAGGTGCTGGAAAACTATAAAATACAACTCAAGAGGTAGTATTAATATTAATCTCAATAAAACTATTTTGCATGGTAGCATTCCCTTCAAATATCTGTAGCACATCCAGAAGACTAAGTTTATCGGGCAAATGTTACTCAGTGCAAGAAGTCATCCCTTGGCATCAGATAAAACCAGGGCTGCGCAAGCTGAAGCCACCAGTGGATTGCATCCTGCAAGCCAAATTTTTCTCCTAGTTATCATCTGGGCCACCTCACTGCTGTCAGCCATCCTGCAGCCTCAACCAGCTTCGCCCAGGTTGCACCCGTGGAAGTTAGATAAGGCTTGCACACCCTCCTCCACTGCCCTGCTTTGCCAGCGCCGATCTCTGCGAGGGGCTCTGGAGAGCAGAGCTGTGATTTGGACAGGGAGGGAGGGAGCGAGGCGGAAGCGAAACTAAACCTCCAACTTGGAAACTTCAGTGAGCTGAATGTCAAGGAGCTGGAAAGGGACTCATGACTTTGTCCTTGGCATATTGCAGAAAAATGGTGGGGCTTTCTGAACAAAATACAGAGCACACTCATTTTTACACCAATGCATTTCTTTCAATCCTCTTACTGCTTTCAACGTTTTTCTCATACGCAGGTTGGTGCGTGTGTGCATTTTCGGTCAGAAATCACCATTTTATATGCGACTACATCCTGTATTTTTCTCAGACTTCATCTTTTCCATAGACACAGTACAAGCCGTCTCAGTGAGAGTGACTAATAGCTAAAAACTGCATGGCGCTGGGTAATTTCCAAAGGCTCTGTAGGACTTGTTTTATAATGTTTGTGGTTTTCAAGAAGTAAACAATAAAATGGGACAAACAAACGTTGTGTCTTGCCCCTGTTTATCTAGCTCAAAATACCTCTGTCATTCCATTTTGACAGAACCTACAGAAGGGCACAGTTACAACTACTAGTTATTAGAGGCGTACTGCAGGTGACACAAGTGCTGCTCTCACCACAATTACAGTATTTAAAATTTCTTCCTAGCTTTTGTTCAGACCAGGGATGTAACAGGCCTAATATGGTGCGCTGCTTGCCACGCACTTACCACTGATGTTCAGCAGTGGTAACTTGCAATCCAGCTCTCAAATTTTATTTTCTGTTTTTTTATTTTACAATTACAAGGAAGTCAAGTTCTTTATTTTCAGTTGGTTCCTTTTTATTGAAACGTGGTGTCAGTTGCACATATCCATAGATCTTCACATACCTCCAGTAAAACAGGAACAAGGCTAAATATTAAATCAAAACCCCAAAACTAAAAATCAAGGTATGGAAAAGTAAATAAAAATTTAAATTGAATAGCATAAACAAAATGCCCTTTTCTGCAGGATAGATTGTATTCTAAGCTTTTGGTCTGTAATTTCATGACCAAGGGGCAGAACCAAAATTAGCTGGATCCTTACAGCCTTCCCACTGAATACTTTCTCACTGAAAGTCTTTGAACGTATCACTGACTTCACCAGCTCACATGACGTGGGCCTATTCCCTCTCCTAATGACCTGGTTCTAAAGAGTAATTTTAAAACGTGGATAATCCAGACTGTCTGTTCCTTTTTCAGGAAACTGGTTTGATTACTTTGCAACTGAAATTATAGATTAAAAAAATGAAGGTTTCTTAAAGTGGGGGCAAAGGAGATTATATTTAAAGATTTAGACAGAAGGCTAATTGACATAAAGGTTTGGGGGAGTTGTGCTCGTTTGTTTTTTTTTTTTTTAAATACGGAGTAAAGCACATTTTTAACAAAACCACTACTGGAATTCATCGAAAGAACAGAGGCAACATGAACACAGTTACCCTTAAGGGAAAAACAAGCCAAAGAATGGAAATGTTTTTCAGCCTTATAATGAATTATGTTTCTAATAGTTTTGCCACAAGAAAGCATTTTATTGAAATGCCTGCTTTGTGCCAGATCAGGACACATATAATATTATTTTAATGAGTTTTACAAGAGAACTAACATTGCCAGATGAGATACAAAATTAAAAAAAAAAAAAAAAAAAGGCTTACTTGTTTTTCAAAAGCAGTTGGCACAAGCCGCCTCAGCTCTGATAAACTGTTATTTATACGATCACGGCGCCTTTTCTCTATAATCTATTCCCAAAAAAACAGAACACATTAAGTTTATAAAAAATGTTGAAGGGCAAAATCACAGCACACATGCAAATTATCACACGGGAAGAAGAGAATTAAATGCAACGTACCCCTCTTCTTTTCTTTCTGGCCATGATCTGAGATGTTGTTGTTGGGGAATTCGATCGAATGACAGAGCTATTACTTTGCCTGTGAAACAATAAAAGTCTGTCAGGTGTTGCACAACTTGACACTGCTCTTTGAAGACACCTTAGGTCACTGTATTAAGTATGCATAATCCCTCTCATGCCATTTTCAATGCCTAGAAGATGCGCTTTACACTGCACGGTATTTTTAAAGCGAGAGAGAGACATTTCATTTTTTAATGCCCCAGCATACATTCTGAATTGACAGAACACTCTGTTGGAAATAAAGCCCCTTTCTGGAGACAGTTCACTGTCCAGTACAGCAGATTTCCTTTCTCTCACATATAAAGCCCTGCCTACCAAATACAGGCTGGAGAACCGAGTCCAAAACGATGTCAACCATCTCTATATGCTGTCAGCGGTGGCAAGTACATGTGTCCGATGGCACAACGTCTGCCTGGCCTGCCAGGTTTTGACATTCCTGCCCACCGCTACACCAGTCAATAGATGCTCAAGTACAAAACCAGTTGCCCAGCCCGGGTCTGTTGCAGCGTCCTGCATCAGGGAGCAGAATTCGAAATCCATTTTTAAAACTACACCAGCCACGAGTAGGAAAAGGCTTTTATTTCGTCGTGAGCGAGCAAAAACATCCAGTAGCTTTTAACACTTATTTAGCCACTGATGTGGAAGATACGGGGCTCCAGTGTATGTGCCTCTAAACCGGCAAGACCAGCTCTGAAGACCAGCACTGACGCCGCGGCGGTCCCGCTGACCCACGCACCTCGGCCCACCCTCGGCTCCCACGCGGGGTCTGCTGAAGTTCAACTACTGTGGATCCCACAGCTCGGTTCCCACTGGCACCGATTCCCTTCGGTTGTTCGGCCTGCTCAGGAGCTATTTTGGGAAAGATCTGATTGGAAATGGCAAATTAAGCGGAGCTAATGAACTGCAGCCTGGTGGCTCACAAGCTACTTGAGTGCTCCGCACAATTTGGAGGCTCGGGCAGCTAGACCGCGGGGCAAATTCATGGGGGGCTATCAACAAGCTGTGAATTGACCTAGAGGGGGGAGAAACCGTGTGCCCCCCTCCGCCCCACCCCCCGAAGGGGCGGCCGGGTTTCCCCCTCGCTCTGCCCCATCTCGGGGCGCATCCCGGTCCCCGCCTCCGCCCGCGGAGACGGCGGCCCCAGGGGGCTAGGGGTGCCTCACTCACCCCGAGTAGTTGTTCTCACTCCCCACGTCTATTGTCTCGTCCATGTCGCTGTCTGAGGTAGTTTCCTCGCAAGGTCGCTTCATCGTGGGCACAGAACGCGGCGCCGCTCCTAGCCGGGGTGGGGGCAGAGATAAATAAATCC